TTATACGCCCAGTCGTCTTATACGCCGGAAAATACGGTATTTTCTGAACTGAGATACTGGGACAGCTCTTGAATAATCAAATAGAAAACCAGCACATACCGTTAGTAAAACTGTCAGCTGATAGCCTTGTGGATGAAAAGGAAGTTTTGCTTCCTTACCTCAGTTTCTAGCTCTGGCCAGCTCAAAAATACTATTAAACTATATATCAAGCAAGAGCATTATGATCAAAAGAACCTTCTGTTGGGGAAAGGAAGAGGACAGGCTCAGTATTCAGATCCCAGATTCAATCTGCAATACCTCCAGATACCAGAAAGTTACTGCTGGCCAACATAGGCAATACTGAGCTACAGATGGACCCACAGTTCAACTTGATATATGGCGGCTTCCTAACTCATGAACCTTTCTGATTCCTTCCATTCTGAAATTCTAATTTCAGTCTATTGTTGTTGCAGTGTGCCTTCAAGTCATTTTTGGCTTATGGCAATCCCAAAAATGAACTTATCACAGAGTTTTCTGAGTCTCAGAGTGTATGACTCACCCAAGATCATCACCCATTGGGTTTCCATGGCCAAGCAGGGTAATGAATCCTGATCTCCAGAGTTGTACGGCTAGTCTGCACACTTAAAATACTCTTCATTCCAGCTGAATAAAATGTGACCTGCCACACACGATTCTCAGGAGTTCTGGCTTTTGGGGGTGGGGCTGAAAAGTGCCTTAAATTCAGTGGAAAAAGGCTTTGTGAAGTATCCTCTGAAATTCATAGAAAGGCACATTATTGCATGTATGACCAGCCATCTTCTTCACATGCGTTCTAATGGCTGTGCTTTTTTGGTACAGGGAGAGTGAACAGATGCAAATTTGTGCAGGAAAATAAAGACAATTAACTGTCAATGCAAATGTGTGAAAATGCACACCAATTTGCATACTACTGCCGGCCCTCCATATCCATGGATCCTTTATCCACGGATACAAGCATCCATGGCTTGAAAATATTTGAAGATATGTAAATTATAAAAAGCAAATCTTGATTTTGCCATTTTATATATTTTGCCATTTTACTATGTCACTGTATATAATGGGACTTGAGCATCCATGGAATTTGGTATCCATGGGGGTGGGGTGTGAGTGGGGGGCTGGAACCAAACCCCAGCAGATACCAAGGGTTCAATATATTCAAAAATAATATAATATATAGGGGATACTATTTCACTATGCCATTGTATTTAATGGGACTTGAGCATCCAGAGATTTTGGTATCCACAGGAGATCCTGGAACCAAACTCCAGCAGATACCAAGGGTCCACTATACACTTACGTGTAGACTAGCCCATAGTCCAACACTGAAACCACCACAACACACTGGCTCTCACTGAATTTTTAAATTACCTTTCAGAAACCAAACCAATTAATTTTATAAAGTAAAAAAAAAAAAAAAATGAGTCACACACACTACAATCCTAAAGCTTGCATCATTGAGTTCAATGGAACTTAAGTCCAAAACACACTGCAGAAATAATCGTTTGAGACTGCTTTAACGGTCCTGGCTCAGTGCTAAGGAATTCTAGGAATTGTAGTTTTGTGAGACACTGAGCCTTCTCTGTCAGAGAGCTCTGGTGTCAAGTACATAACAATTCCCAGGATTCCATAGCACTGAGCCAGGGCTGATAAAACAGTCTCAAACTGGATTATTTCTGCAGTGTGTTTTTGGGACTTAGTTTCACATTTTGTGCAGTTAGCCTTGAAAGAAGAGTACAAATTTACAATAATTAATAGGGATGAGTATTTTACATCTCTGGCAAGCCTAAAATTCCAGTACTGAGTATGTATGTGATTCTTTAATACCAATCTTTGGATTAAAAAAAAAAAGAGTTCAATTTAAAAGGTGCTATTAGTATAAAATGGTTTCCATACAGTTAAGTACTCAAAAGGTCTTTTTGAAATGTCTACAATAACCAATACTGTACTACTTATTCTGAGTTGACAATTGTTCTCTAGAATATTGTGACTTCCCAATATTAATGCTAAGCAAAATCTTTCACCCATCTTGTAGGCCCTTAAAAGAAAAAGAAACATTCAAAGAATAATGTATAAAACTGTGCATATAAATAGTGTAATTAGGAATGCATCTAGGAAAATGACTTTTCTAGTCCATGTATACTGAACCAAGAGCCAAGAAGGATAAATTTTCTTCACGGAAGTATATGGTTGCTCCCATGTAAGTGGACAATGAATCCACTCCAGTTTTTTGTCAGGGCAAGGAGCTCGCCATGGCATGGACCTATTTTGCAGGCATTGTTAAGTACTTTGGATAGCTCCTTTAAAGTGTAAAATATAACCTGGAGCCGAGACATTGCCCAAATGCCACATAAACCGGCAGCTGTCCTTGAGGATAGGACACATTACATACAGACAAGCAGACAGACATGGGGACCTATTATTATTATTATTATTATTATTATTATTATTATTATTATTATTATTATTATTTCAACAGTAAAAATGAATATACAAAATACAAATACAAAATATACAATACAAAAGTTATACAAAATACCTATACATAAAATAGCAGCATTACACCAAAACCTGCAATAAGCTCAGATGCAAATACTGTTCCCTATCTACTACAGCAACACTGTCACAAGAACTAGTAACATCAGACATAACATACATCAAGAGTTCATTCACTGGGGCATCATTCAATGTGATACTGCCAGCAATATCTTCTGCTTTTTAAAAAGGGCACTGTTGTTGCACACCTTCAAGTTGTTTCTGACTTATGGTGACCTATTTATATTCTGACCTATGCCAAACCTATCATGGGTTTTCTTGGCAAGTTTCTTCAGAAGGGGTTTGGCAGTGCCATCCTGTGAGGTTGAGAGAATGTAACTTACCCAAGGTCACTCAGTGGCCAAGCTGGGATTTGAACCCTGATCTCCAGAGTCACAGTCAAATACTCAAACCACTACACCACACTGGTATACGGACTATGCAAAAGAATTAATAGATATAGGATTTGGCATCACAATACCTCAAGAAGTGTTCTCTCTAGGAATCTCTAGGTCCTCCAGCATGACCACTGACAGATGCTGACCTAGAGATTCCTAGAGAGAACATATTAAGCAAATTCGTGAATAATCAAATCCACAAAAGTTAGTCACAAGAGTGGAGGTTCGAAAGTATTCAAAAGGTGGTAAAGGGATCTTCCAAGAGATTCTGCCTCTAGTGCTAAGGTCACTGTTCTTGAACATCAGTTTGTCCAAGAAAAATAAACATGAAACTACTGAATTAATCTACAATTTAACAAGAACTTCCATTTCTATCACCTGTGGTTTCAACTATGAGAAAAAGAATTTAATCACACAAGGAATTATCTTGTGCCAGGATACCAGACTCCACTGTGAATGGTGAATGGAATGTTAAATTCTAATTTGCATTGTCTACACCAGGGGTAGGCAACCTTTTTGAGACCTGGGCCGGTCCCCCGAAGTCCTGGTCTCTGCTGGGCCGAGGGGGGGGTGGAATGGCGGCGTGCGTGCTGCCGCTGCCACAGCCACACGGCCGCACGGAGGCCAAAATGCGCAGCAGTGGCAGCAGCGGCAGCAGCGGCAGGGGTCCGCCTGGGCCGATAAGTCCGGCGACCTGCCCCCAGAACCTGCCCGGGGGCTGTAGGTTGCCGGCCCCTGGTCCACACTTTCTAAATCCCACTTGTCTCTGATTTCTCTGTTTACAATCCTACTCCCAATTCTGTGTCAATATATACACTTCCAACTGAATGCAACCATCCATATGGACTTTAGTCCATAAAAGCTTGTGTCAAAACAGTTCTGCTAAACTTTAAGATGCCACAAGACTTGCCTGTGCTACAAAAGATTGACACAACTACTCTTTCAGTGTATCCTCCAGAGCTGTATATGCCTGTTAAACTGCCTCCAGTTTCCAATTCGAACAATGACCTACAATACATCAGCTCAGATCTGTAAATGGAGCAAAACAGGTCAGCTCAGATATAGCACAACTAGTAAATTTTTTTCACTGACATGGGCCTCCATTATTTCCATGAGCTTGTAGTTTATGGGACTCTGGTGCAGTAATCTGCAGGCTCTACTACGTACACTTTAATATGTTGGAAATCACACAACTGCTGTCCCAAATTACACACAGAAGGCTCTTTTAAGTGCTGAATGTACCTGAATGTAGTGTTTGAGCACCCCCAAGAAAACTACTCTATTTACACACATACACCTGAGAATTGGTGGGTTGTCTCTACACAAGTCTGCTTAGTAGAGAAGAAAAAACTTTCCCTGAGCCTTCTTCACAGACTTAAATTTTGTATGATTTTTAAATGCAGATCCAGAAATCTATCTTGTTTCAGAAGAGTTGCCCAAAACATATTGTGCCAAAAGGAATGAAACTGAAGTCACTATCCATTAAGAAAAAGGTGATTAAAGCTCCCACTTGTTTTGCTCAAATAGTGCTCAAGTTGTGGCAGGGCCTAAATACCCTAAAGGCATCAGATCCCACCTGATCTTGGAAGCTAAACAGGATCAGCCCTGGTTAGTAATTGAATGGAAGACTGCCAACAAATATCAGGTGCTTTAGGTTTTGACTATTTTCAAGCCATGAGCAGTTGACCCTATGGGTAAAGTCTCCATGAATATGGAAGGCTGACGGTAACAACAAGATACATGGCCCTAGTGTCTCTTTCATTCATGTCAAGTTTCAGGTTTTCTAGATTTCACCATCTTTAGAGCTATGGTGGAGATAAGATATACACATATTCACTCTAATCCTATAGATTAAAAAAAGTAAATACCCTCAACATTTGGAACAGCAGTGGTATAATAATATATATTTTCCCCTGCAGAAGTCTCATTTGCAGCTGGATACCAGCATCATGCTTACCACTGTCTCTCTATCCCATTGGGAGCACATGTAAGACCTCAAACAACTACAAGCAGGACAAAGCTGCGATTTGCATAACATAATTGTTTATGAGTATGAAACTTTGCAGCTAGTCCACCAGCTAGCATGGACACTATATTGAGAATGCCAGGAAATGAATGCATTGCCAGGAAATGAATATCAGAAAGAGGTACACTTGCAATTGCTTTTCATATCACTCATTCTTCTGTAAGTGTTCATTTGTACTTATCCCTTGATCCTGAAGGCTGCTTGGAATATAAAGTGGGACACCGTAACTTACATGGGATACTGTGAATCACAAGACAATGATGTACAAATGTCACCAACTCATTATGCACAGTTGTTTAAAACAGCACTCCTTTCAGTTACGGTTATATACCTTCAAGCAGACTCCAACTTATGCCTACCCTAACATAGTTTTCTTCTCAAGCAATCATCCAAATGATTACTGGAGAGGTGATTTCTCAATAAATAAGGGTACTTTTTACATAGATCCAAAACACACTGCAGGAATAATCCAGTTTGAGACTCCTTAACTGCCCTGGCTCAGTGCTAGGGAATCCCGAGAATGTTAGTTTATTCTGGCACAAGAGCTCTCTAACAGAGAAGGCTAAATGTCTCACAAAACTACAGTTCCCAGAATTCCCTAGCATTGGGCCAGCGCAGTTAAAACAATCTCAAATTGGATTATTTCTGCAGTGTGTTTTGGGCCATAGTTACACTAGAAGCACTCAATGAAGTCAGCTAAAATTAAGGATTATGTTGCATTCCAGGTTCACATCTTTGTTCCATCTTCCATCTGACCAAAAACTATTTGTCAGAACAATTGGTCTCTGTAGCCATAAAGATGCACAGGAATAAATGAAGTAATTAACTAAAATAACAGATGTAAATTTCCTTAAATCTATTCCTCTGCCCCACACTCACAGAGATAGTTCTGTGATTTTTAAAAGAATCTGTAGCTCTAAGTTGCTTTTGCGGTATTTCTCAACAGATTTTCTCTACCTTTAGTATTCCATTCAAACTAAACTCCTGCTTTAAGACATAATCTTATTAGAGAACAGACATTTCTCACATATTAAAAAGGGTTAGTGGGGGAAAGGAGCTTTTGAGCCTTTGGGCTACAACCAAAGCTAACTGATCAAATGACATGAGAGATATTAAAAGAAAAAGCAGAACAACACAGGTTTAACACTTCAGAATTTAACACTTGCATACCTTGATGCTTTGGGGGTTTGGGAACCTGCTTATTTAATATGTAAACCAACTACTAATGCGAGGAGATTCTTTTGTGCTGGGCACAGGGTGGAATTAATGATGATCCCAAGTGGGCCAGACAGCTTCGTTATTTTGTCAAGTAGGCCTATTTTGTCAAGTAAACTATTATGTTTACATCTAAGAATTTAAGCATTTACGTGAATTTGTTATTTCATATTTTGAGTGATATTAACAGAAAACAGCTAAGAAAGTCAAATGTAGGTTTATTTCTTTTGTTTTTAATAAGAACATATAGATCTAGCATGGTGTCGTGGTTTGAGTGTTGGACAATGACTCTAGAGACCAGGGTTTGATTCCCAGCTCGGCCAGGAAACCCACTGGGTGACCTTGGTCTCAGCTTCAGGAGAAAGCAATGGCAAACCTCCTCTGAACAAATCTTGCCAAGAAAACCTCACCTTAGGGTTGCCATAATTCAGAAATGATTTGTAGGCACACAGCAACAACAGATATAGAACTGGTTAGATTACATTAAGCAACAGAGTTTGTGTCAGTTCTGGGCACCACAATTCCAAAAGGATGTTGAAAAACTGGAGCGTATCTAGAGGAGGGCGACTAAAATGCTGAAGGGTCTGGATGTTTAACCCTGAGAAGAGACAGTTGAGAGGGGATATGATAGCCCTCTTTAAATATTTGAAGGGATGTCATATTGAGGAGGGAGCTAGCATGTTTTCTGCTGCTCCAGAGAATAGGACTTGAAAGAATGGATGGAAGCTACAGGAAAAGAGATTCCACCTCAACATTAGGAGGCACTTCCAGACAGTGAGAGCTGTTTGACAGTGGAGCACACTCCCTTGGAGTGGTGGTCTCTTCTTCTTTGGAGATCTTTAAACAGAGGCTGGACGGCCATCTGTCAGGAGTGCTTTAATTTTGAGTTTCTGCATGGCAGGGGGTTGGACTGGATGGCCCTTGTGGTCTCTTCCAACTCTATGACTCTCTTTTAGACCTTTTCCTTCAACATGGGAAGGTCAGGAGTGGACAAGTCAGGGGTCAGTGCAGATTCTTATTCCCTCTCCAAACCTAAGATTTCCCAGTGCCTGAACACAGCTAGAATTCCACCCATGAGTGGGTTTATGGGACAAGCAAGTGTGAAGTTCATAGCAACAAAAGCTTACCGAATAGTATTAATAAGTTTCCTGGGATTTAAATACTTGCAAAAAGTATCAAGGGGGAAATGGACAAACAAGAAGGCAGTTGCTGCTTTGATCTACAATTTCAGCCTCATGAGGTATGTACAGACTTCGACCTGACCTATTCAAATGAAATGAGGCCTCCCCCCTTGGATTTTAATACTTTATTTATTAAATTGTACAGTATACCATCAAACAAAAATAGTAAATGAAATGTTTTTAATGCTTATTCATCATAGAAACACCGTTAGAACCCAGCCCAAGGACGCAAAAGATCACGAATGAAACGCCCTGCAGCCAACAGTACACATCAATCACATGCCTCCAAATTTCTACATACTTTCCAGCTCCAGTACTAGTTATTCTTAGCCAAAACTGCTCATCTAAAGTGCCTGGTCAGACTCTCCCTTTAAAAGCACAGATCTATGCTTTTTTTTAATGCAGTTGGTGTGGCAGATTTACTCTCTCCCCACCCCCCACCCCATTTGACTATTCACACATGCTTGGTAAGGGATTCTGGAGGCACATACTGTTTACCTTAACCATTATAGGCAGACACACACTGGGACAGTAGAATAATCTAAAGCAGAACCCCATTTTTCCCCAGCTCAGGCTTTATTGCCCTGTTTACTATTGATGTAAGCTACTG